TTGTTTCAACTACAGTTACATTACCCTGCTAAAAGCATTCTCAAAACTCAGTTAACTGAGAAGCAATATGAAAAGAAAACTTTGCAACTGATGTCATTCATAACCATCTAGTGTTTTCTGCAGTACCATGTGAGGAAAATGTTCTATAACTTGGTTTGGATTTTATTTTATTTAAAAGACAAAAAGTAAGAAGAAAGCAGGTGTCATCAGAAAAAGATGTTTCTCTTGCAGGGTGTACTACAAAGCTGATTCTAGCAAATACATCTGTGACACTGAGTACAGAACTGCAGAAAATCACTTGGTGCCTAAGGCAACTCCTGTACATACACACACATCTTCCTCTCTCAGGCTTTGCCTGAGCTCCTGAGAACAATCTCCTGGGTATGTTTTTATGAAGATATACGATTCTAGCTTAAAAAGGGCACTTTCCCTAAACCTGTTGTTATCAAGTTCCACCCCTTCCTGAAACACACTGTTAAGTGAGCACTGGTGAGCAGGGTGGGTGGCTTTGCTAAAACAGGACAGTTGCACACTGTCAGGTGTAGAATCTGGGCAGCACAAGAGAAATTAGGGTGTTCCTTTTTTGGTACGTTAGTCTTCCATGGCTCTGATTGAGGGAAAAAAGCAAACAAAGGAACAAACAAACAGGTACTTTCACTTGGAACCTCTGATTCGTCAGTCTCAGTTTTCTAAAAAAACATTTTTTTCCCACAATTGTTCATAAGAACATATCATGTTTTGTTTGGGGGACTGAATTTCAAAATGTATATTTTATTTCTCTAGGAGATCATGGACTCCATTTTCTTAAACTGTTTTGTTTGCTAATATTACTGATCTTTGTTCAGTGTTACATAAGATGCACTTACTTTTGGTTGATTTAAACAGCAAGATATATGTGTTAAGGCAAGTCTTTGCTTTTCAGTATTAATGCTGTTAATAACTCAGTATGAATCCATGTTCTGGGTGGAGTGGAGATAAACCACCACGGTATTTTTCTTGCTCTGTTTTAACAGTGGCATGTTAATAGCCTTCTCAATCTCAACTGGATGTATGCAGATAACAGCAATATTGCTTCAAAGATCACAAAAGACATATAAAGTGGCAGTCAGTCAAGAATGAGTGTAGGCCACTAAGAATCAGGAAGCAATGAAGGTTGTTGTATGGGCAGAGAAAAGTAAGGAACTAATGCTATTTAAATCTAGACAATACGGAAAGGGATAAGACATGGCCAAGATTTGTATCTGCTCGTTCTGCACCATGGTATAGCACGTCCTACTAGTGATGCATTCCAGTTTGCATGCTGTGGCTGTGTTGAAGTAGAGTGCTGTTTTTGCAACACTGTACTTACACTTTCATGCTAAAAATGTATTCCTATCATTATTTCTTGAAATAAGCACCTGAGATCCTGTTTTCTTGCTTTTGTAATCAGTACACTAGGCATGATTATATGTCATCTGAATATATTAATTCGTTCAGTGGTAATTATGTGATCCCATTTGGCATCAAACGACATGATAAGAAATCAGTTGTTAAATTTCCATTCAAAATCTTTCTTCATCAGTCACAAAAGAAGCTAAGTAATTATCTTTTAGTTATTTTAAGGACTGTGCCTTCATTATTACATTGCTCATTGTGTTAACTTAAGGAAACTTTTATTTGTTGACCATTCAGCTGACTATTTCTGACTGGCTGATTCCCTGTCATTTTCAGGGTAGGAAATAAGGCATATAAATTAGGATAAAAAAAATGAAATTCATGTTATCCTTATGATACATAAAACAGATCTCTTCTACTATACCTGGGTACACATTAATACTTGATTCTTCTATGAGGAATTTCAATGCAAAGTGTTTTATAACTATTCATAGAATAGCCCAGAAGAAACCCGCAGCTTGCCTGGAACTGCCAAGAGCTGCAACATCAGAGAAAAATTAGTTTTATGTTGTAACTGTGGGTGGGAAAAATATATCCCTCCATGGGAATGATGTGTGCTATCCAGTCACCTCTGAAAAATATTAGGGCAGTAAACTTTTGAAGACAGAATTTGTATATTCTGGGTCTCTACTGGGCGTGTTCACGCTGAAATAGTAAACACTCCTGACTTGACAACATTTTCTCGGTTTTCAGAGGATCAGAAAAATGGCAAATCTGTGGCAAAAAAGCTACTCTTTCATCAAATATGAAGTGACTTCTCCAAAGGATGGGCACACTAGAACTATAAGAAAAAACTTGACAGAGCTTTCTAACAAAGCTCAGATAACATGATTTTTGATTTTAATTTTGGTTTTCCGCATCCTGATTATCTGAAGTCATTGAATCATTTGAACTAAAACTTTCAAAAACCATGAGCCAGAACCAGACATACCTCTGCCATATTACACCTCAATTCAGATAGATGAGATATGGAAAACCTTTAAACAACTGGACACTAAAACTTGGAAGATTTTTTGATTAGCAAAGCAACTTTTATGCCTCTTGTTCTGTCACTAAGACAAGACTATCTCAGCTCCATCATAGCCACCGCTGTGCTTTGAGGAGGTATTTGGTCAGTGTTAACAGCCAGAGGAAAATCTAGTGATTAGGAACAGAGCTCCTCAGGGTGACTTAATTCCACCATCTGAGATGTACACATGTTGACATGCCTATCTTTCTGTTGGTTTTACAAATCAGGATTTTTATTTTTGCCTTTTAATAAACTGTGTCAGAAAGCAAATATGAAAAATTACAATTAATTCTTGAGACGAAAGAAGTTGACTAGGTACATGAAATATGTTGGTCTGTTGTTAGAATATTTTATTTCAAGTATATAGAAGTCTTTTTTGGAACCAAATGGATAACTTGGAAAAAACATGAATTTTAATCAGTGATGTGTCCTGGTGAAAATGTAGCGCAGTCAGCACTGAAGATCATTGGCTACTTTTACATCAGTGATTATTGGAGATGATGACACAAACATCAGTGATGGTGTATCAAACAGGCATCCATTATTGTCAAAAATAAGACAATATGAGTTTCAGGGCCACCAGCTGCGAGACCACTAGTAATCATTATACCACTAGCTTAACTGGATGCAGAGAGAGGTAGCATCTTTTCAGTATCAGGCACTAGCTTAGTTGAAAAGTCTAAACCATCCTTACAGTGCCAGTCCTGAATGCTTAAAGAAAATTTTTCCATAATATCATGAACTAAGAGTTGGGACTGTTAAAGCTCTCTGACAAAAGAGATAACAAAGTTCTACTTCAGCATACAGAATTAGAATAGAAGTCTGTAACACACGGCAGTACTGGAAGAAAGCTAGTATGAAATACTAAGATCTCTGTTTACAGAGGGAGTGCTTAGAAACATAGATGTTCTATTATTTATGAATAGCACCTAGTAAAAATGATATCCCACAAACACTTTCTGCCTTTCAGAGCTGCCTTTACTTTAAGGAAGGCATTTTTCTTATTATTGAGCAAGAATGCCCTGTATGTTTTCCCAATCATTCCTCTGGATCTGATTGTCCCAGAAGGTACACTTTGCTCACATTCCTTCAGTTGTTTCAGGTGTACTTTAATCTGATTAATTGGAATTAGCAAATTGTAGTTTGATTTCTGCTAACTATCACCTTTCTGAGATTCGAAAGTAGCTTCTGGAGAAATCATTATACAATTTGCTTTCTTAAATGGAGTTTAATACAGTTCAAATTATGTGTCGGAAGTTCCAATGTCTCTAAAATTAAATAAATATTGGTGTGTGGATGTGTATGCACAAGTGCATATATCAGGAAAAAAATGTCATTTTTCTATATTGAAAAATCAAATTCATCTCTAATAAGTATTTTGCTAAGACATAAATACATGACTGAAATTTATTGTTGAATCAGCTACCTATGAAAAGCACTCTCTTTGAGATCAGCTCTGTAAATTACAGGAGTTATCATTTCAGGAGATTTGAGAATGGGGCTTAGTATGATATGGAATTTCAGGGAAGGTTAATTTTGAATCATTTATGGGGCAAATCAGCAAACATCCTGTATGTGTCCAAGTTCAGAATACAGGAATTTTGGATTGTCTCTTGTTCCCAGAAAGGTAGTTTGAAGCCAGGTTGTTGAAGGTGAGCAAATGCTCTTTTCTTTGTCACAGCCAATAAAGCATCAGCTATTGTGGCAAGATTACTTTAACTATTTCTTATATCATTGTGATGGTTCCTACAGAGATCATTTAATGAAATGAATATAGAAGAAATATCTTGGATGATCACTGTAAACAATGTAATTAGTTGTAAAGCAGTTAAACCTGTAAAATAAGATGAATAACATTATTGTACTATTTATATTGTAATTAAGCAAACTCCATAATAGAATGGCAGCATAGCAGTTGGACTATAGCTCTCTCTTATTTCAGGGGCGATAGGTAATTTTATACTTCCAGAAAACTGGATGTAATAATTGGATGTCAGAATGGGAAAAGACTTATCGTGTCATTCCTTCCCTGAACAAGCTGTTCCTAGTGCTTTTCTTGATAATGCTTTGTCCAATGTTCTTACACCAGCTTGGTAAACTAGGATAAATTCAGTTGTTATTTTCATGTTGTTTTCTGTCACCTATGGTATCTGTAATTATTTGTGAATAGTATTGGTTAACTGCTGCCTCAGTAACCAATGCTGCAGAGAGAGTACAGAATATTGTTGATGCTTGCTTCGTAAATAGTTGCTTTAAAAAGAGTTCTTGCTAGCCTTTGTAATACAAAATGATCTGAAGTCTAGGTCAGGAGGCTGTAATGGACAGGACTGAATGTTACAGATCTCCTTCTTGAAAACCTCAACAGAGGAGCTGAGAGCCTACAAATTGCACTCACCTGTTGAAGGTAGCTCTAAGTCAGAAAGGATTGGGCTGCTGGGTAATAAAGAAGCTTGTGATAGTGTAGTCTATGTTATATAAAGAGTTTCAGATTATGGAACTCTTTCTCCTAAATTAAATTAGTTGTAAAAATTTTAATAGGTGTATTTTATTTCCAAAGGTGCACTGATCATCTCCAAGACTTTCATCCATTAAGTGTTAAGGTATGTTATTTATATTTTCAGTAATGATATAACTTGGTCTGAATATATCTTGTCTACTGTTCATAGTTATATTGCAAGAAAATTTAAAAATTTGAATGTTTTTAGTCTTAGGCTTATAAATTTAAAAACTCTTTCAGAATGGAAGCGCTAGAATATATGTCATGTTCTTTGGTTAACCATGGAACGCTGATCACAGGTCATATATCTCACCACTCTAATTGGATGGAACAGGTTTAACTGATTTATTGCGTATACGTTTTGTTCTGTTTTGTAACTTGCAACTTGTCAATCAAGAAGACAGAAAAAAAAGAAGAAAGATGCAATGCAATGCAATCTCTTCATGATTTCATTTAGCCTTTATGTATTGAACTTTAAGTTTTAATGGAATGTGCATTAAAGTTCCAGTTCCTGGAACAGGATCATTGTTTTAGAATTTCAGTCTTCTTTTTTGTTTTTTTTTTTAACATAAAATGGGGCTTTAGTCTCAAAACTGTGGTGGAGAAAAGGAAGAAAGGAACTCTAAACTCCCAAATAGTAGATAGAAAAAAAAAAATACAGCAATTTTTAAAATCAAAATGATCCTCTTCATTTTAAAATGGGCTTGATTTTGAGGTTGCTTGTGCTTTACGTGCACATTAGTGAGAGGTTAGAGGTTAAAAAGCAGCATGAATATAGCTGGAGAAATATTCAGTGAAATTATTTGGTGTTATTATGTTTTACCTGTTGTTCTGCATGCATCATTGCTTACATACTTTCACTCTTCAAGGTCTTCAAAGACTTTTAAGAAGTTCCTGTACTCCCTGACCCACAACTGGCAAAGGTCTCCCACCCTTTCTGATATATATGTTGCCAGATGGCTTCTGATAGCCATTCATTATTTCTTATGATGATGTTTCTATGTTCAGAATTACTGTTCATGCACTAGCTGTGATGGGACCGAGACAGATCAGAGCTATTGCATATGAGCTGGGATCTGTGCAAATGCAGGTAAAATGCTTCATTCAAGGCCCACTGGAATTCCTGCTCATCTTCAAAGCAATTGACAGCCCCTGTGATGTACCCCATGTCAGCCACTGTAAAACTGGAAGGCTCCATTTCATCATCAGGCAATGAATCAACCAGCAGGAAAACTAGCCAAGCCATTTACTAGTAACACTGTCCATATACCAGTGCTAAACAGAAAAAAAAAGTTCTCCAGTGTTGCTGTCTGAGTAATTCCAAGTACTTGGTAAGGTGCTCTTACCTGGAGGTTAGCGTCTAATTACTGTTTGATGTGTGATTTTGATGATTTCAGGCCAGTTCTCAGTAGGTGGTTGTTGCAGAGATCATACCACTAATTTTGGATTTGAACAGTAATTTTTATTGGCAGGTCAAGGAGGATCTAAGTCAGACAGTTCCTGAAGAAAGCATGATCATGTGACTCCTATGGGTGCATAATCTTCCATAGGGAAATTTGCTGGTATGAGACTTCCAACACAGTAACCTAAAACACTTGGTACTTGCAGCCTGTAGCCTTTGCAACTGATTTTAGAAGCTGACTCTACATATACCATAAGCAGCGCTAAATCTGTATCAGAACAGGGTTAGATTTTGTTTGACCCTATGCTGTAGCTTCAAAAAGTCACCTAAATCTATGGTTATAAGTTTGTATGGTGTTGCAGACTCTTTCCGTTCTGAAACTTCCCCCTCTTTGTTCCAGCACCTCTTCATTTTTTCCTTTGCTTTTTTCAGCAATACCTCTATCACAAACCTACTGAAAGGACTGAAAATCCAGCACCAACATTTAATTAAAAAAATCAGAACAATTATATTTGGTATTACATTTGCTGAGTCTGTGTTCTTTTCTATTCCACTATACGTTTTTCCATCCTTTGCCTGCCCTCTTGATTTAAATTGTAAACCTGAGGGTCAGTTACTGTCTCGCATGATTACGTTGTGTGGCATGGGAAGCAACTCTTCTTAAGCGGTCCTTCTCCTCTGCTAGCATTACTGAAATAATATGAAAAATAACGAAGCAATTAATGTCTCTCCTTGGATGATCTGTAAGCAAGTGAAAAAGAGGCTGTGTTGTTTGCTTCTGAGTTACAGATAGTCAGTATTGCTAATGGGTTTATATCGGAACCGAACAAAGAATATCCCTCTCTTGTTTCTTTGTTGAGACCTAGGCATATTCATGGCTTTGCAAAATAAGACTGGCAAAATGCCAACACTGCAATTAGCAGCATACTCCTCAAACTCCAGAGGATCAGAGCCAGGATGGACTGCTGTAACTGGCAATGTCACAAAGCCTCTGAATATAGTGGAATTGGTTTCTGTACCTATCCATTTTGGCCGTGTACATCTGGACGAAGTGAGTGCAAAAACATCACCTACTGGTTTTTTTGGTTTTGCTTTCACAGTAGTAGAAACACTACTGAAGGTGCAGGCCTGTTGTGTGTGCCTTGCTTGTCTGAGTTTACTGACTCCCATTAGGCAGAGTTGGCATTTGTTCTGTGGGACTGTGCTTTGGAAAATATCCTCCAGTCTCTAGCTTTACTGTCCCACTAGTGTTATTACTTCAGTCTGCTTTAAAAAATTGGACTGTGGTAATGGTAAAAATGAAAAGCAGACAATTAAATTGATGATAATATTGTACCTACCTACTAAACTAGTGTTTGGCAGGGGGAGGGTTATATATAGTGACATATTATTCTTGTGCAGATTGGTTTTTAACATGCCAGTTTTGCTGAATGTCCATGACTTCAGAAGTTACAGTTAATATAATTGCACTGAAAACATTGTGTTGGTAGAGTACAGAGATGAAACAAACTTGTCTTTATTGCTGTTAAACAACATGCTATTACAAAACAGATTGCATTGATTTATTTCAAGCTGATATGAAGTAAGCAAAAGATTCTGAGGTTTTCCATTCACTAGATGATTTTTGTAAGATTTCACAGAATCACAGAATAGTTGAAGTTTGAAGGTGCCTCAAAAGATCTAACCCTCATGCTCAAAGCAGTATGAATTACAAAAAGTTTTTCAGAATCAGTTGGCTTTTGAATACCTCCAAGAACAGAGACTCCACAGCTTTCTGGGTAGCCTGTTCCAGTACTTCATCACTACCTTCACAGAGTTTTTGTTTGTTTGTTTTTTGTTTAAATATTTTCTGTTCGTATATTTCATTTTATGCCTATTGTTTCTCATCCTGTCACTGTACACACTGAGGAAGGTCTGGCTCCATCTAATTTACTGCGCCCATCAGGTGTTTATGCACATTGCTAAGAATCCCCCTGAGCCTTCTCTTCTCCAGGCTGAACAGTTCCAGCTCTCTCAGCCTCTCCTTGTAGGAGAAGTGCTCCACTCCTTTAGTCATCTTTGTGTTACTTTACTGGACTTGCTCCAGCAAGTCTGTGTCTGTTTTTCTAGTGAGGAGCCCAGCACTTGTCACAGCATTCCAGATGTGACCTCAACGGGGCTGAGGAGAGGGAAAGGATCACGTCCCTCAACGAACTGGCAGTGCTCTTCCTAATGCAGCGCAGGATGCCATTGACCTTCTTTGTCCCAAAGCACGTTACTGACTCGTGGTCAACTTGTTGTCCACCAGGACCCCAGATCCTTTTCTGCAAAGCGGATTTCTATCCAGTTGGTCCCCAGTGTATGCTGATGCATAGTGTTATTCCTCCCTAGGTACAGGACGTCGTAATTCCCTTTGTTGAACTTCATGTGATTCTTCTTTGCCTGTCTCTCCAGACTGTTGAGGCCCGTTTGAATGGCAACACAACCATCAGGTTTTTAAAGTCACAAGTGTTAACATTGTAAAATGCAAAAATATCATGTAAATTTGGAGGAATATTTGGAATGTTTTACTTTGCACATGCAGACTCTGTCATACTCTGAGAACTTTAAAGCAACAATAGAGTGAAACGATTTCCTATTGTCTTCCTGCAAGATATTCCTAAGAGTGCTGCTTTTTTGTTCAGTCTCCTTTACATGTCTATAAGGTTACATTTTTAGGGAAGCTTTCTTGCTACCTCATCACAGATGTCACTTTGGAGATGACCGCTAAAAAATACAAACAAACAAAAAAATCGTCCTTCCCTCTTGCACTTTTGTAGTTTGATAGTAGGTTTATTCTGAGACCTATCAGTGTGTCCCTTCCTCTCTGCATCTGGCCATGAAGAACGATACATCAATCAGTGTATCGGTGTACACTGAATTGGATGGCAAAGTTCTATTAATATATTGATGCAAGACATTCAGCCAGTTCTCAAAGTATTATTAAGCCTTCACGTTTCCTGTATTCATCTGATCTGGTATGTGGCAGATCAGAACTGTGATTTCTGATCATTTAGTTGGGTACGTTGCTAAAACTTTTCATTGATGGACGTGCTTGCATTCTCGTTTGGAATCATGGAAAATCTGATTATTTTTGTACACTTGGAAGCATTCTTTTTCATATTTTTCAGATGCACTAAATTATCTTTTTAAAAGATAAAGATAAGTGCAGTCTTGTTCTGTTTAGAAATACCTTCTGTTTTCTTACCTTTTAGAAATACCCACCAACAACTGGTGAAGCTTGAGTAGCAGTTTCTCTTTTGACCTAAAACCTGTGATTATTGCTCCATTGTTACAGTCTAACAAATTTGGTTTGCTGAATACTCATATTCCCTGTCAATCTAGCAGTGAAATACTTTGCAAAATTAGAGGAGAAATCCACTGAACTTTGATCGAGGATATTTCTGAATTAATGAAGAATATTTTATTTTCCTCTTACATACGTGTATGTACCCACTTTCACCTCGACACACCTTTTCTTGATCTTTGTTTCAGAAAAATAAGCAGAAGTTGAGGGGGACGTTCTTTTCAATGGAAAGGGCAGGAAATGCATTTTATCCAGAATTTTGTAGATTTTCACTAAATAGTGCTCGATCACTCTTTAAATTTCAGCAGAGTCTGAAATACTAAGTTGGAACTCTTGAGAAAAGCCCAGATTAGTGCATCTTCTTATGAATCCTCCATGGTCTGGATGCCATCTGGAATTCCCCATGAAATCTGTACATTGGCCTGGAGCTTTCAGTGATAGAAAACGAAGATGAGAAAAAATATCTTCAGTACATAGATTCAGCTGACCTAAATGCATCATCTTTTTAGTGAAGTCTATAGATATACTATTGTTAAAAGTCTGAAATAGTATGTATAGAGATTTTAACAGCGGTAAGTATTTAGTTACTGGAATTACAAAGAGTACTTCTAAGCTGCAGGAAGATTTCTCATGGAAACTTAAAACTAAACAGAGTCAGAATGCTAGATGAAACTGTAAATTTCATTGGCTGCAGTGGAGTCATGACTCAACAAGGCTGGATTGATATATGCCAAATGAATACTTTACTTCTCTGCATGCATTTTCTTAGTCAGAAGAAGAGCTCATGACTGGTTTGTGTTTGCATTGGGTCTGCTTGCAGGTGAGTTGTATTTTCTATTAAAGATACTCTAAGAAATGACACCCGGCAAAACACCCATGGAGCAACTAAATATGATTTCTCTGAGATATTTTCTGTAACTTTTCTCTGATAAGATTCTCTTTGGTTCAAAGTATGGTCTTCCTTTTGGAATTGATATGAAAAAGGTTCATGAGTGAAAAGCTGTGCATTTTTTTAGATTAAATACTGTTTATTAATCCTGACAGATTTAATGGATCAATAAGTACATTACAGAGCTGCATGTACTCAGCAAAAACAGTTTCTCCAGAGCATGAGCTTTACAGTCTCTGATCTTGAGGTTTAGCATGAGATATTTATAGGTTTGTACACTCTCTTATAACACGTTCATTGATTAAGTGCCTATGCCTCCTTGTCCTAGGACATGGTTGACTATTTTGCAATTTAAATGAAAGAATATCTGTGTCTTGCAGGTTCATTTGAAGCATTTTGAGACAGATGCTGTTGTCCATGACAGGTTGGGATTATCATGATCAAATACCCTATTTTGATTTCACCCAGTGGCTAAGACCTTTACGTGCTAAAGAGGAAGGGCTGGACTTTTAAAAGCAGTGTAACAGGTAAGTCTATTGAACTCAATTTGTTCATTGACAGCTTCCAGATTTAGTTCAACTGTCGCTGTTTACAGAGTCATATATCTGTTTCTTACTAACAGGATTTCCTCTTAATTATCATCTCAGAGTAGTGGCTGTGACTTGAAACAGAAATTCGTTGTCACCTAAGTGTATTACAACAAAGAACAGGTTAAAGTAAAAACTTGATCATGTACCTCCAAGCAGAAGGGAGACACAAAGATCAATACAGAGAACTGTGTTAACGCATATATTTTTTTCACCTTATTAGAGTTATTACTAGTCTAGAGATTTTGCACAGTCATATCTAACTGTCCCAAAATCTGTATTCCACAAGCATAAATGCAAAGAACCATTGCAATTTCCACTCTGAATAGCCCTTTACATTGTGAAATAAGCTGCTTTCTTTACAAAAACATCTTTTTGACAAAACTAAGAAGACTAACACTGCTTTTCCTTACACTGTATTAACAAGAAGGATTTCTACTACACTTGATGACTTTACACCAGTATGAAAACAGTTGAAGGACAGATAAATTTAATACTCACAATGTTTGTTCTTATATTAACAGACTGACTATGACCTGTATGGAGTATTAGCCTGGGTGCATGTTTAATTCAAAGTTATTTTTGTGTAATATTTTATTTTGTTATTAGATCCTGAGAATTCCTTTTTATCTTTAGCTAAGACTGTTGTTTTGCTGTCTAAATAATTTATTTCATTGCTTAGAACAAGCTGTAGAAATCAATCAGTCTAATATAAAGTGATGAGGTATGGACACTTTCAGACATCACCAAAATTAATTCCATCTTGTCTGATTTCAGCAGATGTTTCAAAAGAAGTGGAGGAGAGGGTGAATGATTTTATTTTGTTTTGCTTTTCTGTTTTCTATCTGCTCCTCTAGCTTTTACCTTTTTGTTTCAAGATCTTAGAAACTGTGGAGTAATATGCCAGCTTAGCAAAGAATTAAACTGCTTAATAAATTCTGTCATTCCCCTGGTATGTAGCCCTCATACTTATGACTCTAATTAAGGGTAACCACATTCAAATTTTGCTTTTTGGCATGGTAAAGAGTGGTTTTTTTTTTAAATGGAATTATGCTTAAAACTTTTTTGGGATGTGTCTGTAGACACAAGTACACAAATTCCAAGCTAATGTCAGCATTATCTCAATGGTACAAAAATACAGTTTATGTCTGGAAACAGTAAGCCAATGTTCAGGTGACACTGTGCCCTGTCGTCTTGATCCCTCCCTTCCTCCTGTGATGAGATCTAAGTTAACGACTAACAGGCTATTATTCTTAGCTGATATAGTCTGATGAAGCTACTCTAGCTAGGGATAGATCTTTACAACTTGGAAATGAAAGTATGTTTGGCAGTCGGGGTACATCAGGCTAAACATCAGCTTCATATAAAGCTCCTAATCTAGATGAGCACAACTTCTCATGGTCTGTCAGACAAAGAATATGTGTTTTAAGAAGTCTCTAAGTAAACATTTGAAATTATATACTTCAGCAACTTCAGCTGAGCTGTCCCTGTCATTCAAATATTATCTGTCCTTTTTTCCTCTAGAAAGGAGGGAGAAAGAAAAAAGAGTTCTAATATATGGTTTTACGATAAAATCTCCTTTAAAGTAGCCTTTGGAACCTCTGTAGTATGATAAGTGAAATATCATATATCTCTTCCCAGCCTCTGTCTTCTGGAGGTTTTATGGTTGAAATTAACTTTCTCCCTCAACAAAAAGCAGAAACAGTGCTAATAAAAATTTCCTTGCAATGCACATTCTTGGCTTGAACAAAAAGAATTCAGAAGCATGCATATAGTGCTCAATGTAGCCTTTCTGTGAATTGCAATTGGGGAACTTTGAAGCCTATGTCACTGGCTACCATTTCCCAACTGATTAAAATTGCTTTTAAAGCTACTGGCCAAATTTTGGTCTTAATAGTTAATGGGAACTGTTCATAGGAAATAAAACTGTTTTCACCGAAAATGTGCACAGAAGTCTCTGAAGACCATTGAAGGGAGTAAACAACAGCGGGCCTTGTGTCCTCCTTGTGGTGAGCAACCTCTGTGAGTATGAATGATGAATGCCCCGACCTGACCTGAAACACAAGCAAGAGATAAGCACTCACAGAGTCTCACTTTGAATGTAGAAGGTGCAAAATGAGTGAGCTAAGCTTAAGATGTTAAGCTTCTCATGACTTCATGCTGCCCTATATCTAAAGGGTTTGGGTGAACTTTGTGAGTTAAATCCATTATTAACCTGATGGTATATTGTAATGTCAGAATCATATTTCTCTTCCCAGTGCCAGCATGCTTTACACACATACAAAAAAAGATTGTTTAGAGCGTAGTTACAGGTAATCAATATGTACAGAATCCTGAAGAACCTTGGATACGGGATTTCAAATAGAATTTTCACATTTTAAAGTTTTGATAATTTAAGGGACTGTTTCTTTACTTTGATTTTACTTTGACTTCATGTTTGTCATATATGCTATGGACATTATTAAGCATCCTTCTTAATTATGAATACAGAGATTGAGGCTCTAAGACATTATGTATGATGCACATTGGATAACATTATTTTATTTAACTGTCTTTATATCAGTCATTCAGATGAGATTGCTATGATGTTTTACAGATGTCTCAGGCCACTCTTGGTGACCTTGATTACTTTTTCAGGGACAGTTGCAGTGAAATCAGCAAGGCTGCTTATAACATATGATAGTGTTAGTGCTCATGTCAAACAGCCATGCATCTTGAAGAATAGCATATTTTTAGTATAAATACAGTACAGTATTTTAGGGTCCTTTCTTCAATAATATCTGTTCAAGGAATACAAGGTCAAAGAAGTATTTTGAGAATGCTTCACTTCTCCCTCACTGCAGAGCAAATTCCAGAATGCAGTTCCATAACTGGAACTGTAAGTATAGTTTATATGGTTTATATATAAACTCTATACATAAAAGGGCATCTTTGTGCAAAATTCCAATATCCACAAAACATTCTCTTAAATATATACATGTCAGTTTAGAAATGCTGGCTGCAGACATTGTGAAGACACATTTTGTTATGCTTTTAGAGGAACCATAATGTGAACTGTGGACTTTCTCTGTCATCTGTTTTGTATTGCAACTCTACCACTGTAAAAAATCACATTTGCAGTTGGAAGAAAAAATATTGACTCATTCTTACTAATTCTATAAAATTAGAACATTGATCCTACTATTATTTTTCTATTGTAGTTGTCTGCTAGCGAAGGAGTTGGATATGTTGTATTTCTCTTTGTATTTTGGAAACTTTTCTGCCATTGTGACTCTGTTTGTTCCACTGCTGCTTCACAAAGTGGAGCTATACACCTGTGCAGTTGTTCTGGAAGTGGCGTGTGCTCGTCTCTCAGATAATACAACGTAATAATTTTTTACTACATTTAAAGATGGGAAACAGTAGTTAAATTCAGCCTAAAGTATTTGCAAAGTTGTAAAGTAAGACAGATCCTAGCTGTCCTTGAGTATTAGAAACTGTAAGAGCAAAGAAGAAAACAGTATAGATGACTTTTTTTTTTTTTTTTTAAGAGTTATGAGGGTTGGAAAGTAAGGAGGACCATAATTCTGAAGGTAGGGTACAAGAAGCTGGATTCCTATGTAGATTACGCTGCTAAAACTGTTCATGTTGGTGAAAAATATGATTAAAATTATTGCCAATTTGAGCATTAATTTCAAAGTTAGAGTTGAACTAACTTCAGGAGAATTGGACTCCTACATTTGCGTGCATTTAATGTGCCCACAAAAAACCCTTGTGCATATACAAATCAGGTATTTATTTATGCATGCAACCTAGTAGAAAACTATCTGATTATTTACTCACACAAATATCTTATGCATGCATCCTTCAGTAGTAAATTTGCACAGAAAATTGGCCACGTGTGAACGTTTAAGCTAATTGAATACACCTAATAGTGTATGGCTCTGAAAAATAAGGAGAGAAACAGTATAAATTACTTTTTTTTTTTTTTTTTTAAGAGTTATGAGGGTTGGAAAGTAAGGAGGACCATAATTCTGAAGGTAGGGTACAAGAAGCTGGATTCCTATGTAGATTACGCTGCTAAAACTGTTCATGTTGGTGAAAAATATGATTAAAATTATTGCCAATTTGAGCATTAATTTCAAAGTTAGAGTTGAACTAACTTCAGGAGAATTGGACTCCTACATTTGCGTGCATTTAATGTGCCCACAAAAAACCCTTGTGCATATACAAATCAGGTATTTATTTATGCATGCAACCTAGTAGAAAACTATCTGATTATTTACTCACACAAATATCTTATGCATGCATCCTTCAGTAGTAAATTTGCACAGAAAATTGGCCACGTGTGAACGTTTAAGCTAATTGAATACACCTAATAGTGTATGGCTCTGAAAAATAAGGAGAGAAGCTATTTTCCCCACAGTTCATCCGATTAGCATGTGTGAACAACAATGATTTCATTTGGTAAGAATTTACCTGTTGCTTCTCTAATGATATCTCATTTGAGTTCTCATTATAAGTTTTGTTTAGGTATCTACAAGCTCATGGCTAAACTTCTTAGTTCATGTATTGTTTGTTCAAAACAGAAGATCGTAAGACTTCTTCAATCTTAAACCCTGTCAAAACCTAATGTATTAGTAAGAGAACCAGTCCAATATTTGTAAGTCACAAAAGTTTTCTGAAATCCAATTTCTGAAACTTGCATTCTGTGAAATCCCAAAACAACTAGTCGGAAGACAATTTTTGATATCAGAACTGAAGAAATTCAGTAAAGTTATGACTGATATTCATCTAAATCAGTAAACAGAGCCATAACATGTCATCCGTTGTTATTGGGTATGTCATTTTTCTCATAGTAACAAACGTGCTTGATATACCTATGCTTTGTTTGTTGGATATGGCTTACCCAATAAACAGGATCTCATGATCTGTTTCTGCCTAAGGCTGTGTCAAGTTTT